ACGTACCAATATACAATCATAGCAGAAGCGTGCCATACTAACAAAGTACTAGTGACGCGAACAACCTTAAGCCCTTCTCCGTACGGGTTGTCGAAATCAAACGCGTCCACGACCGACCGCTCAAGGCCAAGACCTTTGGCCCGCTCACAATCGTAAACTTCATCGGCTTCGCCCTCTCTGCTCTCCTACTTGCGCTATCGATATGGCAGGACGATGGCATGTCGGTGGTAGCGACGGTACTCCTCTCGCTTCTTTCCAGTCTGATCGGACTGGGTAATAAGTGGGAACTGGAACTACCCTCGCGGAAATACAAAAAGACAGAGGTACCCGGGGGAGACGTTGTCATTCGATATCCAAAGGGGTCTTTCCTGATCGTGCGTTGCGAGGAGGACGTGGCCCGAGAACTCTACTTCGCACCGGAGAACATTAATTACCTCTTGACGCACGGTCCGGCATACCGAATCCTGAGTCTGGTGGGCACTATGATGCTTATGGGAGGCGTCATCTGTCTCGCCAATGCTCAGATTCAGGTTCAGATCGCCTGGGCCGGTTCCTACATGCTACTGGGCGCTTCGTACTGGGTTGTCGCTGCCTTGCACAGCAAGTTGCACTGGGACACCTCGTGTTATAAAGTCGAAAACGAGTGCCTATCTGACTCCGACATGGACAAGAAAGGATACCCTTCGGAAAACGACACGTTCACACAAGCTCTGTGGAGAGCCGTTTGTGTCAGCAAAAACATTGGATGGGTTAAAATGAGCGATGCTTGTCCAGATACCGAGGCCTGGCACGAATGGCTCCTAGAGGCAAAGGCATGTAGTGAAGACGTCCAGTTAATTGAAGACCAGGAGAAGTCGAGAGGCAAAATAATGTGGGAGGTCCCCGAATGGGACGCACAGGGTTCTCTTGGGAGACTGCTGGCTGAGCACGCGGGAAACCAGAAAAAACTCATTAGACAAAAGGTCGAGTCAGCTTGACCAGTTTCATCGGGCTTCATGGACATTCACTTGGGGGTTATGCATAGCGCTGGGGCACGACAAACTAACCATCATACAACGAAAATCTTTCTACGACGAGCGCTCATTGTACGATTTACGATTTACGACTGAGAACGACGAACTTACCGCGGAGCCACCGTTGCCATCATCTTGTACCATCCTACAACACTGGAAACCTACATCAAGCTTTCATTTATACGTCTCGCATCGTTAGCGCTTTGAGCGTTCTTGTATCTAAAGCATTTTTCACGTAGCAGAAAAGAATACACACAGCAGTGTTTATACAGAGCTCGCCACTCCCACCAGTCACCACTTCTCACCAACGTAACTCGTCACACCTGTCTCATCACGCAGCCATCACCACACCGCGATCAATGCTTGTCAAAACCGGTGTCTACAGCGTGGAATAGCCTTAAATTGTGCGCAGTCATCTATAGCCGGCGCAACGCTGCGTCTAAACAACGCAGACCCATGTCCGTGGTATGACACCTGGACACACCGTGCTCAGCTCCAGACTCACAGCGGCTTGGCAACTCCGAGTAACCTCGTGGAATGGGAACCACGAGTACAGAGCCGAGGAGACCAATGAGCCCAGTGATAGGCTCTTCCCGATCTATGACCATCCTCTCGAGTCGCTGGTTATATGTCATTCCTGCTGGTTGACGAAGAACCCAACAGCGAGAGCCTCAGCCTCCGTCTTGCAGTCATCATTGTATCTTCGCGACTAGACTTCAGGTAGCGCTCTTCCACCGCTGCTCATATTCCACCTTCCTTCTGACTACACTCCTCAACCATTTCTCCAGATTCTCCCCCTCAACCTGCGCGTCGACATCCATAGCCTCGCCTTCCGCCTCCAATCTCACACCACCCTCCTCCTCTTCATCTTCCTCTCCACAGCATGCATCCTCTGCCATTTGACATGCCTCGTTCCACTCCTCGTAGCTGAAGTTTCCCTCGCTTTCGCTCAGCAGCATTTTCCTGTCGCCAGAGAATGCGAAGACGTGTACCGATCGTATGGGTTTCGCGCGTAGTAGTTCGTTCGCGGTGGGCGAGAGTAAGGGTGGGAAGGAGTTTGTAGACGGCGAGGCGGGTTGAGCGATCATTACGGAAGTGAGGACTGTGCGGAGGGGTATCGATGCGGAGAGGAGCGCGAGGAGCGCAGTGTGAAGAAGGTGTGGGAGGAGGGTCAGAGACTGGGGCTGTCAGCGATTGATGTTCATGGGAGACGGTATCGCAACTGGACATACGGTATTGACGCCTGCTGTGCTATCTTCTTCCGGTAAACTCCTGACTTGGAGTGTGATTTGTACAAGTGTTCGCGGTATCGCTCGGGTCAGAATTATACTGCGCAGTGTGTTGTGTACCAGTGTTTCGAGATGTCGTTCTCTTGGACCTGGATTCCCGTCAGTATATAAATCACTACCCCATCAAGCGTAAAAACATACTTCCAACTCCCATAGCGGGTCTGACGTTCACCTCGATCGCTGCTTCCTCGGGTAGTTCATCGCGTCGCTGTACTTCGATTGGACCATTGACGGCGCCAATGATTGAGTAGCCATTGTGGGTATATGTCGCAGAGCCGTCGGCGCGGTTCAAATGCGTCAGGGTGACTGTAGGTGCGCCCATGATTTCGTGACCCGATTCGAATGCGCGTCGCGAATGAAGAGTTCGACTCTCCGTACTGCCAACTGTGGAGGTGGGTGGAGGTGTGCGATAGGATCAGAATACTGATAAAGCCAGTAGACGTGTCGAGTCAAAGGACTTTAATGCGCAGAAATTGAACGAAGGGGTGCGTGCTCTAAGATGCGCCTCTGCACCTCAGTGACGATATGCCATCTCCAAAAGTTTTGGTGGGGATGACGCTCAGCCCAGTCTGTGGCTCAAGCTTCAGACCTCGGCGCATCACCGCGGCCAGCTCAGCCATCCGATATCCTTGCCAATGCGACAATTGAGCTGTCCGTAAGCCTCCACTCGCACTTTCACCGCCATAGACATACAGCGCATCATCTCCACCCATTATAACATCAATACCAATATCAGAACCTATCCAAAACATATATAGTCACCATGGCAGGCTCGTCGCGCAACGCATCGCCCATCAAGCGCCTCATGACCGAACTGCAAACATACCAACACGACTCCAACGACGCGCTGTACGAACTCGGACCTACAGACGACGATGTGATGCAATGGCGAGCAGTCATGAAGGGTGTAGAGGGAACGGCATATGAAGGTATACAAAACCCGGCGCATACTTCGCCTACACCGCTTACAGCACCACAACACCCAGACCTCATTCACTGACTAACACACTCCAGACGGCTGCTGGCTCCTCTCCATCGCTATCCCCTCCACTTACCCCCTCACCCCACCCACCATCCGCTTCGTAACGCCCATCTGCCACCCCAACGTCGATTTCAAGACGGGCGAGATCTGCCTCGATCTACTCAAGACCGCTTGGACACCCGCGTATACTATATCGTCGACTCTGACGAGTATACACCAATTGCTCACTAGCGCTGAGCCAGACAGTCCGCTGAATGTGGATGTTGCGCAGCTATTCAGGACAAACGACGACGTTGGGGCCAGGAGTTTGATCAGATTTTACACTGTTAGCGAGAAGTATGATTGGAAGGGGAAGAGATAGACTGTATAGCGTGATTTGGTTTGGAACAGATGTGGCTTGTTGTACATTGGCGTAAGAAGGCTATGCCAGAGGATCTATTCAGGCGTTTGGTTTGATTTGGGACGAGATACCTACATTGGAGAGCGCGAACGCATCATGTATTCGCAATGGAGTATACTACCGACACAGCATCTGCATGTCTTCATCTTGACTGTCCAAAATCGATTTATTTACCGGCAACGTCAGCAAGCCCGACACAGCCCGCCACACGCACGTGGGTCCACGGCTGTGTTTCAACTTCAGCTCCCCACAACACTTCTCGATTACGCACTCCACTGATCGTCAATGCAGCATCTCAGACCGAGCAGTCATAGACGAGAAAGATCGACGGTATCCCTTCTTGTCCGAGTACGGTTCATACAAGCGACCTGGATCGACCGCTAACTTGACCTCTACATGCGACTTCCTGCTGACTGTGTTGCATGCGGTACGTACTCTTTATGGAGTTCAAATGATCATCGTTACGAAGCCTGCAGTGAGATGAGTAGAAAGTGCTTTTGGCGCTTCGCATATGAGTTGTTTGGCAAAGCTTAGATGGGCACATTTGTCTGGCGCTTAGAATGGACCGTAGTAAAGCTGTCGAGATCACGTCATTCGATCCCTAGGGACTTCCGATACGAAAGTACGGCTACTAAGTTGAGGTAGCGGGAACTAGTTATGCGTCGTCTAGGCGCTCGGGGACTTCGGTATGCGCTCGGCATGTGAAGTAGAAGCAGTACCGATTTATACTTGGAGAATAGGTTGCAGCTTGATTCAGACCGATTACTTGAAGAAAGTCCAGGAAATTACGGTTGCCTAGATTACAAAACAAATGCTAGAGTACACCGAAACATGAAGACGATCGGGTACATCCCCCGAACCTTTCGTCTCGAAATACCAACATGACAAATACCTACCGCGGGTCCAGGAAAAGCAAGAAAAACATGATAAGCAACCGGATCTACCCATGCCGGCTGTAGTTTAAGCCTCGCAAACAGTAACAATACATACATCGTGTCGACAAGTCTCGTCTACCCGCCCCACTTTCACTCCACTTTCCTCAGCTAGTAAGCGTGGAAACTACGCAAGCCACAACACTCCATGCTCAAACTGGTCCGCTTCAGCACTTTAACGTTGAGCCTCAGTATCCACATCTGCTGAGGTCATGCGACCACGATCGAGCGATGGTGGCTTGTGTCCAGGCAGTGTGCGTTGTCGTGGGAGGTAAGGTATCGCTGTACGGAAGAAGGCATGTTGTGCGAGCGTGCGATCGCACTTGCTTTCCGACATTCCCCTAGCTTGGATTGATCATGCGGTGAATAGGTGGCAGAGGAGGCTCAACCTGCGGTGACGGTCCATTGAGTGCGTCGCCAGCCTTTGGTTGAGACCGTGACTGTACCCTCGAGGAGTGACTCTTGGTCTGGAATACTGTTTGGCGAGACGCGGCGGGTGTATGAGATAGTTGATAGTTCTTCGGGTACGTCTTCCGAGGGTGGCTCGGCCTTGATAATAGTCGACTGAGTTCTGTCGTGAAGTGACTCTTCGGTCTTGATAGTCGGTAATGGCACTGGGTAGTAGGGCGCGTCGTATGGTCCTGGTAGGTTCTGCGGCGCTGATATCCAAGGATAGATTGGAGACAGTATTGGCTGGAGTGTCTCTTGTTGGAGCGAATGGAGGTACTGGTTTGGTTCCCGGTCGAGCGATGGCCGACGAAGAAAGACATCGTTCTGTCGTTCTATGCTTGACTTCTCTTCTAAAGTTGTGCCGACAGTCTCTACGTTTTCTCCTTTAAGATGCACTTCCTCTTGATATGAATCTTTTCTTTGGTGAATGGCCAACTTCTTTTCTTGATTGACGGGCAAGTCACTTTGACCCATACCCGAACCAGTCATCGTTCTTCGTCTCCGTGCAAGGAAAGCCGATCTCAAAGCTGTCGAAAAGAGCGCCAATAATAAGAACACTTCAAAAAGATGCCGTAGACTGACGAGCGGGAGCCGCCTTTCTGTACTGAGCGAATCCGTTGGGTTGAGAAGTGGAGGCATAGGTACAAAATGACGCCGACGGAAGACAGGTGAGGCTTGGTGGGATCCACTCAGACTATGAGAAGCGTGGGATGATGCAGGTCCTAGATGAACTAGCCACTGCGTCAGTCAAGAAGACGGGGAAGCAACCGCTTTCATACAACTTACTTCGAGTAAGAACGGGAATGACTGTTAGCATAAGCACTAAAATCGGAATCCTCCGTTGTATAGTAGACAGCTAATAATACTCGGGTACGGTTATTGTCTCGTTCCTGTAGGATTGGCACTGGGGTCTACGTATAAATAAGGATATCGCATGTGAGAGTCAGGTTTGTTCCTGGGGCATCAATCTCTGCGGAACGCGCCATCCTGGTCTACGTATATGCTTCGACGGCGACATCAGCACGCCCAGATGCGGTTGAAACATCGAGATATCGGCGAGCTAGCGCGGCGTAGTCCTGGTGACGAAAGCTGGTGGGCAAAGTGAAGCGTAAGCCCACGATGCGCAAATCAAGCAAAAGGCAACAAACTGATCGTGTTCAGCTGTGACGAATAGCGCCCGTGGAAGGCATACATCACGGATTCTGCTGGGGTAGGCATGGTTTGGTGCGTGGCCTCAGCAGGACGACCAGTGTCCTCGTGTCTTGGCTGGTGGTATCTCAGCTGAGTTTGCGATGGTGGCGTTTGTTGTGGCTAACGCCACTGGTTCACTGGCCTAATCGGCAGGGGTGACCCGAGATCTGATCCTGCGCGCAAGAACAACGGCGAGCTGGCTTGACACGTCTGGCGAGACCTTTGCGCGGATGAAGGGGCCGCCAGTTGGAACGATGCAGTTGCGCCATTACGGGCGTTAGAGCGAGGTGTGGTGGGTGAGTAAGGCGTCCCGTGACGGATCGGTTTCAGCTTCTGCAGGAACGCCAACCGAAGGGCAGGCGCTCATGATACGTCGGGAAACAACTTACGCAATATGTAAGAGAGGCGGCTAAACAAAGACTCGCAGTTGAAGCACGAGCATCAGTATATTCAGGGAAACAACCGCCACACATGTGCTTTTTTGCGGGGCGGTACCCTTTTTCAACCCCAAAGAACCACATCGCGTGAGAGGCGGCTGGTACGCGATGCTGGCTTAGTGGGCTGTTATCACGTCTCGATCTTTACCAAACTCAACCGTTGTATGTGGCTGTCGGAACATGAGTCGATCCGTCGCGTCTCCGACCGCCATTCGTGGAATATCCACGATCTGGAGTACCTCGTGCGATCCCCACAACACCACGCGATATTGTAGAAGCTGGGCAAACCTCAAAAACAGGTTCTCGGTAGCGAGCGCGCATCGAACAACGGCGAGGTTGGCTGTCTGTCAGCTGGATGTTATGGATAGAACCTGGAAGATACCGAATGTATGGCGTACGGTGTAGGAACTACCGAGACGCGATCGCTTTCATCCATGAGCTCGAACCTGATACACAGAAGCCACTTCCCTATCGTCAGATCGGCGGCTTTTACTGGCCGCGCACGATATCACATCCCCCAGGCTTCGATTGTCCTCGCGTATTCAGGCTTCCAGCAGCTTGCCCAGTATCCACATTCTAGTAATTTTGTAATCCTTGCGTAGATCGAGCACGCCTCTCGCGAACAGTTGCCTCAATTTCGGAGACGCCGTGGATGCGAGAAGATCTACGTCTAGCGAATCCGAGATTAATACCAGCGGCTTCGAAGCAGGAGCACCGGGTCATCATCAAACGCGCGGGAGCTTGGGTAAACCCCTGAGTGTAACAATGGGGATGCATCGATGGTAGTGGCATGTTGGTGGTCCCGTCGATCTTACGCAACGTCCAGCTGCCCTAGTTTACTCTTCACGGCGATGCCGTCGCCACGTGAGCACGTGACTAGCCCTTACACTAACGCTTCCAGATTGGGCCGGTGGTCACATAACTGAGTGAGATTCCATAAACAAATAATCTTAGATAATCGTGATAGATTGCCGGGGCATGTTTGCAAGAATCCGCCTGACCTGCAGTCTCATAGTATAGAACATGCCGACTCGCTCGTATTTCCCCGTCCCATGCCTGGCTGGTATCAACACCAATCCAATGACTGTTTCGCTTTCGTACGCAATTCTCTTCTTGACCCCAACGATGGGCAGGAGCGTGAGTACTTGGTCCTCTGAAGTAGTATCGATGCATTCTAACCTTCCTATAGATGGCGTGCCGCTTACTGCTGTGTCAAAAAAGATTTCAGGACCAGACGAACTGTCTGGTGTAACCGATACCGGAACATGGCTGCCGAGTTCTTGTGGGAAGATCTGGGTTATCTTGCCGGTTTTGAGCTCAGGTGAGGAGTGGGTGTTGGGGTTGGCTGTCCAACATACCGAGGCTAACGGGCCAAGAAGTTTAACGTACCCATCAATCACTTGACCGAAGCGATAACCGTCTAGGTCAGTCACTACTGCCTCCTGAAGAACTGTCAGGTAGTCGTCGGAGTTGTAGTTGTGTTGGCAAGATGCGAGTGAGATCTTGCCTCTGATTGAGGCCCAGGACCATGTCGGCGCGATCAGTCGTCCCTCCGGGCGCGTCGGTAAGGCGCGCGACAATTCGTTTTTTGTAGTTTTCCATAGGAAGTATGCAGGCAAAGAAGACTGCCACAGGCCTGCGAGATAGCCGTCCCCAGGTGCGCCCGGTTCCACAACAGACACACTGCTAGCAAGACCTGCCACAGCTGGGAGTTTGTCAGAATCAAAGCTGATATGCAACGCGGTGTATAATTCAATAATCGCGTCCCAATCTTGGAACACCGCCGCAGATTTCGTAGTAGCGTGCATGATAACCTGCTGAATGGAAATAGGCGCCAAGGTTGCTCTGATAGCGTTCAAGATCCTTCTCGAAGGGCTGATACCCGGTGGAATTTGCGAAATGTGTTTTGCAGGCCAGCGGTCGTCTCTTGTCTCATCGCCGAGTTGTAGTCTTTTGATGTTGATAGATGTGTGTCCACGCACACTATCCGGAAGACCTTGGTGGTAAGTCTCGCAGGCAGCAAAGTGCCTGCATTCCCAGAAAAGCTGCCCTCGCCCGAAGTGAAGAACACGTCGCGAAAGGATACGCTCCTGAAGTACCCAGCCACGTTGATTTAGCGGTTCACGTGTGAGCTTCTGAGCCCACACGTTAGATTCGCATACGGTAAGGTACCTCTTCGTTGCAACCCTTTTGCAACCGACCCAGGGTATACTTAACTCGGTTGGCAATACAGCTCGTGGGTTTCTGTCCCAGAAGCAACCTCCATTGGAGTTCTGTGACCCTGTGGCGGCTATATTGATAAAGCCGTACCTATACACAAGGCTCATGAGACTGGCTTCATTGTTCCAATCGTCCTGGTCGTCCTGTATGATACAAAAAGCATCAATCCAGAGATATCGAAGGCCCAATTTTCGAGTGATGCTAAATGCATCCAAGAACGTTCTCGTGAAGTATGATGAATCAATGCCGGTCCTCAATCGAGATAAAGACCACGAGTTCGTATGCGGCATAACAACTTTTCCCCAACAATGAGAGAGAGTTGCGTAAGGCTGCCCAGGGGGGATGTCTTCACGATGCAGTAATCGTACGCGATCTTCATCGGAAGTGCCGACATCCAGGACCCGCGTTGGGAACCAGCGTTCGGGAATAGTTGCGTTACAACGAATATGCTTTTGAGTACACTCATCCATCCAGCGTTCGATTAAATTCCAGCTCTCGGGAGAAGATGTCGACGAAGCGGGTTTGTACGCCGCGTGTTCGCCTGTGTTCGAAAGTGAGTACTCAATCCAATTGATAGATGCTTCCAGACAAGGCTTACTTCGAAGCGTCTCAATGACCTCAAATGTGAAACCCAGACTAAAGTTGTTCACACCATCCGATGTCAACTTCCACTCGAAAGCGCTTTGCCAACTTGCCGACGAAGTATCAGATTCGCATTTGATTGGAAACAATGTCTCCGAGGATTCAGCGAACTCCCTTTGTATGTATCCGAGAGTTTCCGAACATATCCCGCAGAACTGCTCGGAAGAGTTCTCAAGAGATGCGAGTGATTCGTGATGGACAAGATCTTTATGCCATCCCGGATGGCTGATAATATCGACGATACCCTGACAGGTTGCACAAAGCTCGTTGAAAGTAACAGAGGCCACGCTAGGAATTTGAACGGGTTCTGCATCATGTCGGCCAGTCAAACGACGCAGGAAAGTCCCAGCAGTGAGTTTGAGTAACAGACACGTGATCTCCAGTAGTTTCAGAACGACGAGTAGAAGATCGAAGAAACAGGAGGTAGCAGACGCCATATCGGAAGTAATCGAGCTTTAATTTGATGACCTCCTCAGGCTGGTGTAGGATGATCGCACCAATTGTGGGGTTACTTGAGGCTGAGCAACACATCACACAACGTGCACCCCGCTTCCGACCGGTCAGCTACCGCCTCGTTCATTCGCGGAAAGTCTGCATGGTACGTTGCCACCACGTCGGCAGTACATGCAGGCATCAGAGGAACTTTTGCAAGCCTGAACGATAACGCGCAGATCTATGCCAAGATAGTGGGTTACTTGGGGAGATGCGATAGGAGCATGTAGTATTTGTAAAACTGATGGCAGAATTTGTAGCAAGTGCCTCCTGAGTAGCGCTGAGTCCTCTAGCCTATGTGTTGAGCTGAAGCTTGGGCCCACCTCATACAAGAAAAAAAACCGAACAGGTCTGCAGGCTACATTAAGCTAAAACCTTGCAAAGTAGGTGACCCAACGTCAACGTAGGCTCCAGGCTGTCCAGCTTTTTCCTAGGTTGGCGTAGGCCGGCCCTCTCTCCACTCGTCAAAATCTTTCTGACCGGGCATCTCTCTGCCATCAGAGAGCT